TTAAGATGTGAGCTAAGGCTTTAAAATTGTAAGAAGGCAAGTTGGCAGTGAACAATAGTCCTATCCCAGGCAAGATAAGATACTGTTTCGGTTTGTCGAAAATTTTTCTTTTTTTCATTCGCTCACTTGAGTTCGCAACAACGGCTTTTTCAAAAATTTCTACTCTAAAAAGCGTTTTTCAAAAACGTGACGTTTCGGCGACCGTCAATTTTCATCGAGAGGTGTGGACGGACGACCAAGTACAAATACGGGCGGTCGACACCTCGGACGAACGACGAATCACAAACGTGCGAAATCTAACAAAAAATTTTGTTCCACTCTAAAAAGCATTACAGTCTTTAGCTCGTTGTTAGCGTAGTCCAGACATCAAAAAAAAAAAAAGTTATCCATGTCACTCTAAAGCCACCTGTGTAACATGTTAGTCGTACCACCGCGGTTCAAAATGAATTTTAATGAAAGTAGTAAAGTGACTGGTTTGTATGCTTACCTCTCTTCCGCTGCCTCCTTTGATGAAAAAATTTAAAACGAACGTCAGTTACCTCTTGATAAGGGGGACCAAAAGCAGCGAATGTTCAAAAAAACCCAATTCCACTTCTTTCACCGTGAAGGAGACGGCCGGCAGAACCCACGCGATCAATTGCGAAAGAAGTGACGCAGCCAAAGGAATATGTATAACTTCCTTTCAGCCCCTTCAGCGGTATTCAGCCCCGCTTAAAATTCCAGCTAGATTCTTCCGTTTCCCTCGAACCTCCGTCAATTTACGCACCTAATGAAGTTCAAAACTAGTCTTTATAAAGCAAAACTTTAACCTTTCAAGAAGGGCAGGAGGGTTGCGAAAAGGAAATGTTTACGTTGACGTCATGTCACGGCTAAAGTCACGCAAGATTATTTCGCAAAACCGGAAATGGATCCCTTTGGGACTTAAATGAACACCTTTTCAGCAAAGCGGGTCAGCCTTTTAACTCTCTTTCCTTCTCACGTTCTTCTTTGTTCGGTGGCAAGCGCACTCTGCCACTGGGAATTAAAATATTAAAGACAGTGATAAGATCAGCCTTGATTTATTCGTTGTTGTTTTGTTTTGTTTAGTAGTTCCTGTTTATGTTTTGCGCCGTGACAAGAATTTTAAATCAGGAACACTCCCAACAAATCGCATCGATACGAATGTCTAAGCACGGAACCAGGAGCCATAATGGCTCTTGACGCAACGCAAAAAAAAAAAAAAAATGAGCGGTGAAGCGAGATACTCGAGTTTGAGGGCGAGAACCGTAAGTTCTATTTACCAGGATAAAAGAGCAAGATAGAATGTGAGAAAGAAGTAACCTGTCGTGACGCGGATAGCGAGAAACCCGAAAAGGTATAAAGAAGCGACGACCGGCAATGCATTTGTGTTCCCACGCTGACCCCCATTTCTCTTAAAATCATTCGAGTTCTGGTACCCGAGCCTACCCCAGCGTACTGCCCTAGTTAACTTTAAAAGAAAAAAACACAAACTATTTGCAGTCATAAAGTACTGTGTGGAAGAAACTGCAGAACACCAAGACCAGACATATTGCGGTTTGAGTTGCTTTGTGATCATTAACGTAGACTATTAAAAGCACGTAGTTACTAAAACATGGAACGACCTACAACCACCTCAAAAAATTCAACAACCACCTACAACCATCTACAACCACCTCAAAAACATCTACAACCACTCGCAAACAATCTAAAACCATCTAAAACAAGGTATAAATGTCTGAAATAGTTTCACACAAATGTATGTAGTCCCGCAGAATCCTTTAGTCTAGTGTGAACGTGTCTCACTTGTACAGCCTGATTTTATACAGCTATTAACCCGTTTACAGTTGCAAGAATTAGAAAACATTATATAATGATATTTGATCATTCTTTTCAGCAAAATGAATCAAAACGTTCTTACCAGTAACGTCCCTTGGCGGGGAGGGAAGACCCGAATATGTGATCCAAATTTTTCGTTCCGTTTTAGCTCGTAAAGTTCCAGCTACTCTAGCCTGTGCCAGGCTCTCAGATAGTATAGTGGGGACGTATTTACAACGAGCAAAGCGAAAATAAGAAGCGCGCATATCCCATCACTCCCAAGAAGAGGGCCGGGGTGAAAGTTGGGTTCCAAAACATAATAAAGGTATATAAAAATCCAGGTAAATTACTTTAAATACAATCATTCACTATTAAAATTTTTCAATCCATTTTTATTAATTTCGGCTCGTCTTAACTTGTCTTCTTCTGAATCCATTGCATTATAGATTTTTTTAAATAACATTTTTAACAATGATTACACCTACTAGTCTCCGTTTCCTGTGTCATGACGCAAGGGAGTTTAGCCTTGCGTGATGACACAGGAAACGGGTGTGAAAGACACTAGGGTTCATCTAAAGGAGTCACCTGGAATGTACAAACATGTTTGGCGGATGAGATGCTAAAAAAATTAACTTGTTCTTAGGAATGTAATCCGCCACCTTAGAACAAAACAGCAGTAAAGCAGACTCCGAGAGAGAGGGAAACCCTACCTTGTGCCATTGCGTAAACAAATGAAACGTGAACCAAAACGTCTCACTGGTTAGCCTGCGAAGCGGCAGACGCATTTCCGGTCGTCGCTTCTCTCCCTCCGAGAAGCGACGACCGGAGATGCGTCTGGCGCTTCGCAGGCTACTCACTGGTACCCAGGGTAGAAAAAGCCAAATCAAGTCAGTCTTTCGACTACGACTTTGTTATTTCATTTTATTATTTTTTGTGACTTGATAGTTCATTTTGTAAAGTTCTTTAAGTTTTTTAATATACTTAGAATGATCTCGCATTTCATTTCGTGACTTAAGCCAATGGTTGATGATACAAGAGACCAGGGAGAGTAAGATTTTAGGGGGAGGTGGATGTTTTGTTCGATTCTCGTATTTCATGTTCGTGACATGTTGTCGTCTCGCCTTATTTTAGACATTTATACCTTGTTTTAGATGGTTTTAGATTGTTTGCGAGTGGTTGTAGATGTTTTTGAGGTGGTTGTAGATGGTTGTAGGTGGTTGTTGAATTTTTTGAGGTGGTTGTAGGTGGTTTTAGGTGGTTGTAGATGGTTTTAGGTGGTTTTAGGTGGTTTTAGGTCGTTCCATGTTTTAGTAACTACGACGATTAAAAGCATCTTGTTATACGCGGTACCAAACAGACCAAAGGTAGCCCAAGCTCGAAATACGAACATCGGCATTGTTGCGTAACATTCAAAATATAAGGATCTGTATGGGAAAAAACCTATTGTTTCTGTAACCTACGAAAATGAAAGGATTTCAATAAAACACAGCCTACCTTACTTAAAATGTGTGTTACGTCTCTCCTGTAAGGTCCAGGGGCCCGTTTCTCTAAAGTCCCCGTAACTTTACGGGCCCGAAATCAAATATTCAAATCGAAATATAAAGAATAAGAGCGCGGGTCCTGGCTAGCAAACTACTCCATTTTGTTTCATTGACTGGCAGTTTTATCGTGTTAGATCCAAAACTATTGAAACCTCGGTCTTTAATGTAAACGGAGACAGCTTACCGGGCCCGTTATCGGGACTTTCGAGAAACGGGCCCCAGGGCCGATTTATGGCCGTTTTATGGGTATTATGTAAACGGTTTTCTCTTAGCCTGCGAAAACATCCGTTTCTCCTCGCTCGTTTCGCGCGGGGAGAAAGAAGAGCGAGGAGAAACGGATGTTTTCGCAGGCTAGTTTTCTCTCTCTATATATAACTGAGGTTGCAAACCTTTATTTGGAGAGAAAAGAGAGAGAATCTATGGCGGTCCGGGCATCGGAGCGGCATTTTGAACATTGGCGGCATTGATCAAGCTTTGTTGCTGAATTCATGTTTTAAAAACCACAAATAAATGTGACTTTTGCCAGTTAACCGTTTTTCCTTAATATTTCCCGTTACTTGCCCGGTTCCTCGAAAGATGGTTAAGTTTATAACCCAGGATTAAGCCAAATTCTAAGCAAGGTTTTCTTGTCTAAGAACTGCATGTAACTCGAGCTTACAAAACACTGTTGTGCCTTTACTTGGAAAAAAAGAAATGATCTGACACAAATGTTACTCTTAGCAATGCATAGGAAGGCAAATACAAAAAGTGGAACAAAATTTTAATCCTTAATTAGCGCCAATCGGCCTTTAAGGAACCGTTAACTCGAACTTTTTTCTATTTCCCTTGAAGGTTCGGGAGTCGAATGTAATATACTTACGGGTATAAGGGCAATGTGTACGGCTTTCAAAGCAAGAAAAGAGCTAAGAATTTCTGTAAAACTCTTTTATAATTAATAGGCCTGCATAAACTGCGCCCGAAACAACGGCCAAGTCAACAAAGCCAAGTAGACGCGGTTATGCCGGTTTTCATACAGTTTTTCAGAGATCGCACCGATATTTTTCAATCGCCTCAAAAGGGGTTATCCATGTCCCGCTATACAATTTTGACTAGTGATTGAATATGAATTGAAGTTTGTCAAAATACAGCTTTCAGTAAAATCGATATCACTATGACAACAATAAACAAAAACCTTTGAACTTGACAAAAGCCTAAGTTGTGCGATCTAGACGTACTACTGAAAATCCGACACCAGGAAAGTAAAGTGTAGTGATTAGCCCGGGTGTTTAGTTAGCAAATAAGCTCCGTGAGGAGTAAAAAATTCTGAAATAAAAAGCATGCATTGCGAAAAATATATATATATAAAACCGGCCTTTCCCAGTCGGCAAGCATCAAATTAACACAAACACAGTCGAAGGATCGATCATTAAATCTTTCTTTGTGTAACAGGAAAATTTAAGCACGATTTTAGAAAGTTTGTCGTTATAAACTAAAAATCCCTCACTTCAAATTTAAGGATCATAATGTGATAAACAAGTCTGCAATATTTTCCCTTTGGATTTGCAAATTTCCTCATTTTCCCTTCCCTACCTAACAAATCATACAGCTTGACAACTTTGTAACCACTCCTGCCGGCGTGTTTTATTTTTGTGTCCTAGGAAAGGATGAGGACATTTGGGCAAATTGCGAACGAAAAGCGCTAGGGGTTCGGAGAAAACAGCACGATCAATGACAATCAGCACCAGCAGCAGAAAGGAGAAATGTTGGCCCATTTTGAGAGAGGCAGTTCTGATGTGGATTGGTGCGAGTCAAACTACGCACACGTGTCTTTCATAGCAGAATTCTACAACACAGTAAGTAATTAAGGCGGAAGCGCCCGCTCTTTAGAGCGTGTCATTAGTGATAGGGAATGTACACTTGAACCAGAGAAAAACATCCATAAGAGAAATGTGCCCCTATTTCAGTGTTTTACGTAAGGAGTTGTTGGTCTGTATTCAAAGAAATTATAATTCAAGGGACTGATAAATTCTATTATATTATTGTTGTGTTTTATAACGCAGATAAGCAACGTCATTTTTCTTGTTTTTCCTCCATTTTTCATGTAAGTATACCTTTCGTTGTTCTTAACTTTTTGTTCATACTAGCTATAACTGCCTTTAGTTTGATGTACTTGTCGTTTCAATAAAACTGTCAACAAAACGGGTCCAGTTCTTTAAATTTCACTGAATGCGCCTTAGTTCGGTATGTGTACTTTTTGCTTATGTTTGCGAAACCGGTCGGATTGTATTTAACCACAGGAATTCAATGTAGCGATATTGTAGCCCAGCACACAAAGTCGAGTAAATTAGAATACTTTTCCAAAGCCAATGCTCTATCAAGCTTACTAAGTAAACGAAAACTTATTTAAAAGAAAACAAAATGCACATCAGTTTTTAGCAGGTACTTAAAAGACACCTGTAGCTTGGGATATTTACATAATACCTTTTAAGTTAAAGTGAAACAAAGGAGAAAAAATTATCTAACAGTAATAGTATGGCTCTTAGTCTGATAGAAAATGCGTTTTACACATGCGGACGATTGTAAGAACGTGCCATTAACGAACTCACGTTACGCACCATAGAGCACTTACTTCGGGAGTCTTTGAAGAGCAGGTGGCGGAATGAATTATTTAGCGTGGTAATTCTGCTTTTATCATACTAACAAAACGACAGAGTTATTTATACTGTCTCGACATGAATAAAAATTATAGACTTCTGGTGATAAAACCGACACAAAAAACCGTTTCGTAAAATCACTTACCGTAAAAGATTAATTTGGGTACCATTTGTCTTTACAATTCCAGCAGTTCAACTCATTCAACCGTTCAGAGGTTTATTTTTCTTTAGACTACGAGTAGTCCCCCATTTTTTCTCAGGGATGGTAGAGCGAACGAAACTCGCCTTTTCTCGCGTGGGGTGATTTTCACGCGCGCTCGCGTTTCGCTCGCTCTACTATCCCTGAGGAAAACTGGGGGACTACTCGTAGTCTAATTTTTCTTAGAGAACGACTTCAAACCAAGGATGATTTATATTTTTTAGACATACTATTTTCTAACTGATCTGTATGAGCACCTAGATGTTAACGCATTTTTTAACGAAGAACTTTACTATATCGTATGAGGTAAGGAACGTCCTGCAAAAACACCTGCATATTTTTCTTTTTCGACGACGAAGACCTATAAATGGGCACGCGCTGAATGTCTGTTGTACAAGGCAGACAATTTAGTCTCAGCTTTAGCCTAGCTACACAAAGTGGGCGATAACTAACAAAGAAAAAATAAAATACAAAGATAAAGAGGTCGAGGTTAGTTTCTCCAATTTTCGCGGCAGCCAGATGGTTATCCCAGTTTCACAAAAAAAATTTAAATTTGTTGGAAGAGCTCTACACTAATGACGTCACAAATTTCTGGTCCCTGCTGTGATTCAGACATTGAACCTGACGGGTTTAAGAGTTTTGTATGGGAAAGTCACGTTCGCCAACAAAGTTTCGTCGTCTTTGAAGATTTTTATCGTCAAAAGAAACAATAAAAATCAGGCTTGGTTTCGATAACATATATCCTGAAAATAATCAACGTGTCCTAAGACAACGTTACACATGGAAAAAACGGTACAGGTGAGTGATTTTATTTGCGTGGACCAGTTTTTGCTCCCTAGCTCAGAAGACATTTTAAAAACGCTCATTGCGAATTTTATGAACAATTTTCATGTCAGAAACGCATGTTGCTAATACAAGGCCTTTGAGTAGAATGCAGGCAAAGTTTGTCTGAGTCACGCGGAGGGTGTAAGGTGACAAAACCTATTTTTAGTATAATAGTGCAAAGCGCTATTGAACATGGCCAATGACGGATGTTGCATTGCAGAAAAGGGTTCTTAAGATATGTGACCACCATTAAGTTAGCGCTAATTCGGCTACATTTATAAATATGCAACTTCACATGGCACAAAGTACTGAGAACGACAACCACATCAGTGCGCTGTTCAAAAAGCATGATCGCGTTGTATGAAACTAACTTCACGAGCCTTACTATCTCAGAATATGCAATGTATGTACTGTAAATACTTAATTAGCGCCTAGCTTCTAACAAGTTCCCACTTCGCCGAACCGGCGACTCCTTTAAATCTGGAAAACTATGACGTCGCGTTTCTAATTAGTACTGTCCCTCCACCTCAAGAAATAGACGAACTCTACTAACAAAGCGGTCAAAACAGTACAGACGTTCTTTAGAGACTATTAAAGGGTGGAATTGTTAACCCTTACTTTTCAAATGAAAGTGACTTTCAGAGCAACTTTAACCTCGTTCCCAGGGCCCTTTGCCACTCGTCCTCTTTCTCACCCCGAGGGACGAGTAGGAGAGAACCATGGGAACACAGTTGTTTGATGGTTTGATAAACGGGTGTTTAGCCTGCGTAGCAAGCGTTTCCGTTTGGTTTCGGAGCAATGAAAGACCGAGTAAAGGGATTCTCGGGTTTGGCCGCGCGAGAAATGAAACAAGAGCCAAAAAGTGCAATTTTTCGCGCGATCTTTGACTCTCGTTCCTCGTTCTTTCCTCCTAAACCGCACGGAAACGCTTGCTACGCAGGCTAACGGGTGTTATAAAAGTCAAGGTAACTGAAGCTCCGTGCAAACAGACGCAACGTTGTTGGCCAACAACTCCCAACATTGTAGGATATTAAATGTTGAGTACGTTTGAACACCCTGTTGCATATTGTTGGGAGTGTAGTTGCGCAAAGTTTTAAATCGGTCAAACGTCTGAACCAACGACTCCCAACATTTCTTTAGTGCGATCGGATCGCCGAAGCGTGGCGCAACAATGTTGGATCCGTTTGCACAGCTCTCCCAACATTATTGGGGCCACGCACGCACATTTCACATGGTTTACAAAAATTATGGGTTGTATTCTTCCCACGATGCACTGCAGGTCCCAACTTGCATCTGTTTGCACACCTCCACCAACACAGAAGAAACAACTCCCAACATTGTTTGCCCATTAATGTTGGGAGTTGTTTTGTGATTGTTTTGACTGCCGTCTATTTAAATTTTCTTGTGTTAATTGTAGGTACCTGTTTCGTCCCTATTCTAAGCACGTCTGCTCCGGCGTTAATGTTATCTGGGCACTCTTTGTCGTGATTGGAATCAGTTCCGCGTATTTCCACGCCACTCTCAGCCTGGTAGGGCAGCTTTTGGATGAACTCGCAATCTTGTGGGGTGTAATGTTGGCGTTTGCTTTGTGGACACCGAAGTGGATGTTAACTTTAGGACCCATTGTTGTAGACAGGTATGGGCCAAAATATAAGTTGAAGTATAGCTGTTTCTCCAGCTGTTTATTCAATTTCACGCCTCACGCAGTTCAGACTTCCGAGGCATACTTCATTATGAGGAATACGTACAAAAAAAAAAAAACAACCAAAGCCAGCAACTAAAACAAAACCTCTCTGAATCTGGAAGTAATAAAGATTTTCCCAGACGTAATGAACACGACTTGAAAAATTAAAGATTAAAAAATGAAATTAAATAAATCAAAAAAATCAAACTTTTCCAACGCAGTTTTGACTGGAAAGCATCACTTTTGTTTTTCAGTGATTGTCATCATTACCGGCATATAGTCGTTAGTGCCATTGAAAAATAACCATGGGTTTATCTTGTCCATACAGGGAAAAGTTTCAATGTGCTATCTTTGCACTGTCGCTGATTTTTACTTGGCTAGGATTTCTTTATCCTGTCGCTAACGCATTTGTACTGCTGACGTTTGGAGCCCCCTTTGTGATCATGTTATTTGCTGAATTAAAAAGGTAATATGACTGCAATAGGAACTGAAAATCACGACACGACTCAGTATAATAGGTTAACGAGTCGGGTATCTTCACTGTACATGAAAAGCTCGTAAAAGTTACATGCAACCTCTGCGATACCAACTTCAGCCCTCAAGTGCACTCAAGTGCTGATAAAAATATATCTTTTCTTTTCTTCACCAAATGAGCCAATCCTTATCTCTCCTTCAGTTGTAAACAAACAATCAAACTAACAAGAAGATTACGCATGAAACAAAAAGACCTCTTAACTTCCAAAAATGCCACCATAACAACAACAGGCAAGATTTGTGATACGGTAGTGGGGGGGGGGGGGGGGGGGCAACACATATCCTCCCTGAGGAAAAAAAAACAAAAAAAAAAAAAAAAAAAAAATAAACAAAAAAAAAAAAAAGCGATGAAACACAAAACAACCGCAAGAACAAACGGAGGGAGAAGTGTGGGGGGGGGGGGGGGGGGGGGGGGGGAGCCACACCCTGAGATGAGGGGGGGGCGGTCTCAAAAGTTTGGTCTAAAAAAAAGGGGGGGCCCGGGCCCCTCCCCTGGATCAGCCACTGATAAGATCACACATTGCTGTGCCTTTATACAGGGTAATAGCAATGACGTTACCTTGTGAATACGACCAGATATATCTCCTGACCACCATGGGTGTTTATGTGGACACTAATTTTTGGTCATTAACCATAACTTACATATAGGCTCAGTGGCAGAAAAAATGGTGGGAATAATAATGTAAGTAGAAAATGAGATGCATTTATAATTTTGTCTTTTCTACAGTTGCCAAAATATAAGAATCAGAAGGTTGGGACTTGCGTGTGTTGGTTGGCTGTTTCTTGCGGTGCTTTTCTGGCTGAACGACCGACTCTTCTGTGAGATATGGCGGTCTGTATCCTTCCCGTATCTTCACTGTGCTTGGCATATACTGATTTTCGTTGCAAGCTATACCGGTTGTGTTTTGGGATCGTATTTCTATGCCGTCACCGAGTATCCACACCTGCGACCGGTCCTTTCTTTCTGGCCTTACTGGTCCTCTGGCTGGGGAGTGCCATATATTTCCTTGAAGGCTGCACCCAAGGAAAGAGTCTTCTGTTAAAGAAACGGTCAAAAAAGAGACGAAAACAAATGAAAGACCTCAATTCAGCTGAAGGGCCTCTTTCTTTCTGGCTTTGCTGGTCCTCTGACTGGCGATTTCTACACGTTTCCTCTATGAGTGTACCGAGAAAAGTGCTTTCAAGGCAAGAACAATGGTAAGGGACGAAAACTCTGGTAACATTTTAAAGGTCGATGCTTATATCACCTGATGCGGTATCAGAGAAACTTAATTCCCTGACAAGGAACTTAACGGACGCTACAAACGTAACAGCCATTCAGCACTACTGCAAAAGAGGCACTGTATGCTGAACTACGCTGTGTTCTAATAAAAGTTCAAAGTTGCACTTACCTGCTTCGCCACCGATTAAATCACGAACGATAACCTGAAGTCTGCGGACGTTTTCAAAATTAAAATTCACTATGACGCCAAAACGCAAGAAATGAAAAGAAAAAAAAAACACGACACTGAGACGATTGTCGGATGGCAATGGCAACGTTCTGTCAGAGTAAATACAGAATTTCTTTACATGGCCAGTAAAAAATAATTTGTAACATTGTTCACAGTTACTGCTCGATAACAAGCATGGCCAAAAAAAGGCAAGAATAATCGGTAAATATGGGGACGGGGTAACACCAACAGACTGGCGTCTGAGTGCAATAGTTCAGTAACTTTTGTTAATTATCCGCCGTTGTGATTTGAAAGGCTTTCCAACGCATTAGGAAGGCGAAACACCTTTGATTTCAAAAACGTTTCAAAGCATAAGAGACTTTTGCCATCCTGTTTGCGGCTGAAGGGCTAACGGCAGGAATGAAAGTGATATCATATCTAAATGTTTTCAAAATGCAATCTATTGCGTTTGACGTTTGCCCTGTGCAGTAACTTACACCCATTTCGTACTCTAGCCGCTTCCTGCATACTTTACAAAAGAGAAGAGCACAGTCGAGGCTTCTTCATTTGTTAAACAACCGCTTTGATGATCGATGATTGATCGTTATCGTTTGTGGTTTCGGGAGCAAGGGTGGAGCAGTGGTGAGAGTACTCGCCTCCCACCAATGTAGCCGCGGTTCGAGTTCTGGCGTCCACGCCATATGTGGGTTGAGTTTGTTGTTGGTTTTCTCCTTTGCTCCGAGAGGTTTTCTCCCGGTACCCCGGTTTTCCCCTCTCCTCAAAAACTAACACTTCCAAATTCCAATTCCACCAGGAATCAGGTAGACGAAGAACCACCTAGTGGGAAGTGCTGCCTCTGAATCGTTATTTATTTATTTATTTATTTATTTATTTATTTATTTATTTATTTATTTATTTATTTATTAAGCAACGTCATCTCAAGACTTGCAAAATAATGCGTCACGGCAAGTAGTACAAGATGAGCCACATGCACGAGGGAAGAGTCAGAGACGACTGTATATCATAGACACTTTATTTCATAAAATATTATAAGAACTAAACTCTAATTTATAGTACAAAGACTGTAATAATATTATGCAATTTAGGGCAATGGTGAAAGCAAGTTTCACAATCAATCCATTACAGAGACTTGTATGTTACATCAATCTTAACCCTTGAAGTCCCAATATTGACCAACATCAATTTTCTCCCAACAATATCCGCATGTTGCCAAAAGAAATGGTTATGAGAGTTAATAAAATGATCACTAAAGGGAAAATGCTTTGATCTATTGCCAAACTCTCTCAACTAATTCTTTAAGGGAATGTATAAAGATCAGTATGGAGAATTTATATGTGGATACTGGGGCTTAAAGAGTTAAATGAGTGACCGACGGTCGAACATTTGAATTGTGACCAGTCAAAACGTTTACATTACTTGAACGTTCCAGCAGTTAAAAAGAGAATATCTTTGAACCTGATGTAGTCTTATACACAACGGGGTCGTTTTGAAAGAGCGTTTCACTCTTTCACAACTGGCACAATTTTGAGTTTGTAAATGAAAGCGTCACAAGAGAAAGGCTAATCTTACTCAGGGTTGCTCCTGATCTAAAAGGAGTGTTGGTGAAGGATTAATTGATTCCAGAGGCTTCATAAAAACTCCACTATGTTCTGTCCGAGTCAGTTCCTCAGAGAAATAGAACATTGCCAATACGGCGTTACCGCAGAATATAGCACTCAGGCTGATAAGGGTCAGTAACGCGTTGCCCTTTATCCAAGAACATTTCTGCTCGCTCCAGCGTTAATACAACACAGGTCATTAAATGGGTTCGTACAACGA